GGAGGAGGAGACACAGGGGCGGAGATAGGTGGCGGGAACGGTGTCGCGAGGCCACCAGAGTCAGCCGACTCCTCGACCGGGACAACCAACGGTAGGGGAGTGGCGTGAGAAACACGAGACGGGGCAGGATAGGGAGGGAGAGGAGCAGAAGCTACCGGGGGAGTGGGAACCAAAAATAGGGGCGGGGAAACCAGGAGACCTCGGTGGGGAAAGCGGTGGTAGAAGGAGACAGACTCATCAAAAGTGACGTCATGCGAGTGAAGGAAGCGGTGAGACGGCGGATGGTAAATGTGCCAGTCAGACGCGTCGTGGAGGAAGCCAAGGAAGACACAGAGGACAGTGCGGGCAGTGAGCTTGCCCGTGCCAGAGGCACGAACGCGAGCAAGGCAGCCTCAGACGTGGAACGCAGACGCGTCACCAGGGAACCCGGTCCAGAGAAGGGTCGGCAAAACCTGCGGCCACAGGTTAAGCTGGTGAGCGGCATGGCGAAAAGCGAACGGCCACAGAAAATGGGGTGCACCATCATGGATCATGAAGGTAAGAGCCACCTCCATGACTAAACCGATGCCTCGCTCAGCTACCCCATTCTGCTGCGGGGAGTCCGGCAGGGTGTACGACTGGGTGATGCCCTCTGCACGACAGAACTAGCCAAGCCGACCACAGACAAACTCGCCGCCATGGTCGGAGTGGAGACGAAGCACAGGGAGGCCGCGGTGGACTCGCGCAGCTACGATCCACGGGATAAGAACGTCAGGCACGTCGGCCTTCCGCTCCAGGATAAAAAACCGTGGTGTAGCACGTGTAGTCGTCGACAAGCACTAGAAAGTAGTGCTCGCGACGTGGGCCAGGGACGGGGGCTGGGTCCCAGACGTCCAGGTGCAGGGTCTGGAGTGGCGCAGTGGTAGGGGGAAGCAAGGAGGAGTGAGGAGCATAGCGCAGCCGGCCCTCGACACAAGGCGTGCACAACGGCGCAGGCGACGGAGGAAGGGCAGGGAGCGACGCAGGGAGACCAAAGTCAAGACAGTGATGGGACATATGACGTAGACGCGGGAGTGCTGGGTGACCTAAGCGGTGGTTCTACAGCAGCGACGGGTGAGTGACCGACCGACACAAGCAAGCCGCAGCGACCTGTGTCGACGCAGGCACCTGGGGGGACGCCCTCACCAGGGGGGACGCAGTGTTAAGCGTAAACATGCCAGACTCAGGGTCCCGAGGGAAAGTGGTCAGAGGAGCACCAATGGCGGCCTCGGTACAGACCGCGTACCGCTCGTGACCAGGGAACGTAGTGGAGACGCCGATATCCTGAAGACAGCCGACACCAACTAGGTTCCCGGAGAACGAGGGGATGTGCAGGTCTGTAAGAGAACCCGAGGGGACTACCGTACAGGGAAGGGTGGTGGAGCTACGGGCAACTACCGGACCTGAAGAGGCGTCAGCAAGCGCGACAGCGGCAGGGGCAGCAAGAGGCGTGAGTGAAGTATGGTCGCGGAAGAAGCAGGCAGACGCTCCAGAGTCGAGCGTGAAGGAGAGCGAAGCAGTAGCATCTGCCAGCGGAGGGGCTAGCATGGAGCCTAGGCTAAACAAGGAAAGGGGGTCCTACGCCTGACGCAGCAGAGGAACCTAGACTACATTTTGGGAACAGACCTACGCTAGGCAACACCGGGTACTAGGGTCTAGTCACACTAGAGTCATCAGCATACATGGCATACAATGCAGACCTAAGCTGATACATGGCACACAACACCACACCAGGCTGTACCAGTTGGGGGGGTCCGCCGTGGGGCCGAAGCGGAGACGGAAGAGGTCATCGAGGCGGCCTTAACAATGTGCGGCAGTGTGACCGAGGCGGTCACAGACAGTGCTGCGGCGAGGGCCGGACTGAAGCTGGTACTGGCAGGTGACTAGACTGGAGCCGCCACCCAACACCGAGCTGCGCCCCCCACCACCACCAGAACCGCCGGTCCACCACGGTGGCAGGGGCGCCCATGGCGAATGCTGCTGCTGCTGAGGCTTCTGCTGCTGCTGCTGATGGGGTTGCTGCTCCGAGCACCAGTCCCGGTTCCCTCATCTGCACCACCGTCCCCTCCACTACCTCCGCCACCCCCGCCACCACTCACGCCGCGACGCCCCCCCTGGGCCCGTCGTCCCTACCCTGATGAGACTGCGCTGAGGCCGCCGTAGCAGTCTCAGCAGCGGGGGTCGTCTCAGCAATAGCAGCAAAGACGTCGGAGGAAGTGCACTGGGAGGGAGCACAGCCCTGAAAGATAGGGAACACCGCAGTACTGTTCAAATGAGCGATAGTGCGCTGACGGGTCTCTATCGTAGCCAGGGTAGTGACAAATCAGTGAGGGTGAGATCAGCAGGGTGGAGGGCAAGGAAGTGGTCACGGGCAGTGGCTAGGCAGTCAGGAAGGCGCGTGGCAAGGAAGTAGAGGGTAGCACCAAGGGGGGGAGGCAATACAAGGAGTTGAGCCTCATTGCTAGCAGTGCGGTAGCTAGTCTCTAGTGTGCGCAAGTGAGTGGCGAGATCAGCGACAGTGGGAGAAGACGCAAGGTTAGGGAAGAGCAGGGGGAGGAGGAGACGACCGGCAGAGGCAGAGGAGGGAGTAGAATAGCGTGCAATAACAAAATCTAAGTACGCCTACTTGGTCTCTAAGGCCTGGTAGCAGGGGCGCTCAGATAGGGTGAGGGCGCGACTGATAGCAAGCTTCGCAACTGCGTCACTCGACTCCTAGACGGGGCGAGCGAGCTCAGCAGCTGCAAAGGCCTCACGCTCAGCGGGCATGGGGGCGTCAGAGAGGGCAGCAGATGGGTCGGGGCAGGGGATCTTACCGTCGACGTGAACGGCCTGAGACTGGCCATCCTGGCGCTGTCCCCTCAACGAGTGGCGAAGGTCGGTGAGCCACGCCTCAAAGTCGATCGCCCGACCCTCCGCGTCCAGGCGGTGCACAGCGTCCGCCATCGCTACGGCTGCAGCAGCTGACCGCCGCGGTGGAGAACAGCGGCGGAGACGGCCGGCGGGGCGCCGGCACAGTAGGGGGAACCAAGGCCGGCAGGTCGGGGCGACACAGCAGCACGGCGGCTCGGCCACTCGGCAACTCGGCGACGCGGCGGCACAACGGCTCGAATACTCGGCGGCTTGGCGGTTCGGCTGCTCGACGGCTCGTCGGCTCGGCGGCGTGGTTCAGCGGCTCGGTGGCACAGCGGCTCGGCGGCGTGGCGCAGCGCCGTATGGCAGGGCCGGCGTGGCGTGACGAGGCCGACGAGGAGTGACGAGACCGGCGCGGCGTAACGTGGCCGGCGCGGCGTGACAGGGCCGGCGCGGAGTGACGGGGCCGGCGCGGCGTGATGGGGCCGGCTCGGCGTGACGGGGCTGGCGCGGTCTAGCGGGGCCAACGCAGCGGCACGTGGTCGACGCGGCGTGACGTGGCCGGCGCGTCGTGAAGGGGGCGGCGCGAAGTGTCGGGGCCGGCGCGGCGTGAAGGGGCCGGTGCGACGTGACGGGGCCGTCGCGGCGTGACGAGGCCGGCGTGGTCTAGCGGTGCTGGCTCGGCGAGACGGGGCCAGGGCGGAGTGACAGGGCCGGTGCGGCTTGACGGGGCCGGCGCGGTCTAGCGGGGCCAGAGCGGCGGAACGGGGCCGGCGCGGCAGGACGGGGCCCGCGCGGCGTGACGAGGCGCGGGCTAGGGCGCGGTCTAAGGCAAGGGCTAAAGCTAGGGGCGGAAGCGTAGGCGGAGAGGGGGACCTAACCTAGCGTGATACCATGTTAGGATAACGCAATGAACTAGATTGTGCCATACAGGGAGCTACGGCGCTGTACCCATGATGAGCATGCATCTATCTAGCCTATTACATATACAACTATATTTTGACAATATCCTATGAGACTTCGTTTTAGAGATGCTCCCTGAGTCCATCCAGTCAATGTTCTGCATTCCCTGTACCAATTTTGACATTTCAATGTGCTCCGCGACTCTAACGATAGGATATCGGCCAATCACAGTTGTACATAATTTTGCAAGTAACGGGTGTTTTTTGTTTCGGATGTTTTGAATGGTTTCCATTTGTGTTGGAAATATCTCAAAGAACTTGAGCGTTTCTGAAGTGTAACACTACACTCGAGGAAAATCGTAACGGGTACGCGAGTCAACGGAGGTTACACGAGGGGATGGACAAAGAACGCGAAGGGACTCGAAGGGTCGCAACTGGAGGTTGCGACTGACCGTTACAACTGCGCGGATGGTAACCGAAGCGACAATCGAGTCGCTTCGCGACTCGATAACCGCTCCTGTAACTGTATTCTACAACTGCTTTACTTTCCTATTTTCTATATATTGCTGTATGCTTGTTTCTTTTAATCAATCACTTGTTCTCATATACTAGTACAAGGGTTCAACTACTCAACTTCCGCTGCACTACTCAAGTCTCATTCTACAACTGGGACTTAGTCTCTGGAAAGATCCTAAGGGCTTTTCTCAGCCCAACAATTTGCAACCCACCCATGTAGCGTCGCACAAATATGTGCGAGAATGCCTGCGACTTCCCTTCGCAGCATACGACAGGGGTGCCGACCATGTACAATGCACTACAGGAAGCGTCGCAACTCACTAAGTGTAAAAACGCCTGCGTCGCACAACCCCCATCGAACAGAGCAAATTCCAATAATCTTGGAGCTTGCGCTGTTGGAGTCTGACCTGTACACCACTGTGGCTATCTATGTACACTTCCATGCTCAAATTTCCAGCCTCTGTAGCAAAGTACGATAGTATGCAGAACGCTCCGTTCCCCGCCCCCATACACTATCACGTACAGAAGAACAGTAACGAAGCTATGCTTTAGCCGGACTTCTAGAGACGAGCCTTCGGTTCGTCTCTAGACTTAGCTACGTATCTTCAGGATTACTCGATATGCTTTCCAAACCTTTGCATCCTACGACTTAGATTAGCCTAGGGTTCTTATATGCTCTATCGTCACTCTTTATTGTAATTCATAACAATACGCAGTACAATATGTTCCATTGCCCTCCGCGCTTTTCATAACAGTACGCAGTACAATATGTTCCATTGCCCCACGCAGTATCTTGCGACTGCCACAGCACCCATGTCCCCCTTCATCCCACTCCTATGCAAGAGTGGAGGGCTCTGTAGCTTGCGGAACGACCCAGGGAGGAAGTTGCTGGGACTGAGGAGGTTCAGGTCTCAGGTCAGGCGGTCGCAGGACGGACAGGTTGCTGCCGAACCCTCTTGTAGCGCCCTCTGCCGCACTGCGGCAGAACCACCAAACTGGGGAATGCGCGAGACGACACGAAGGACAAGGGCGACAGGCGAGGGTGACCCGCACAAAGTTCGGAAAACACGCCAGGAGCGTGGTTAAGAGGGGCCAGGGGAGGGGCGAGAGGAAGGACATGGTGTTTCCCCCCGCCCCTAACCCCCCTCCCCCCACTTCTCATTCCTTCCCCCTAGTTGTAGATAACGGCGCGCGCAAGAGGAGAGTGTCATTGGTTAACGAGATTAGCGAAGCGTAATTGCGCGCAAGCTTAGCGCGAGGTGCGATTCGGCCGTCTTTTGCATAAGCCCTTTTGGTGGGCTGGGCTCGGCGGCGTGTGCGTGCGGTTCACGCCAGTCGGAAGTTCCGCCATCGTCGCAGATAGGTTATGTTACCCCGTACCGTACAGCCTACGCCGCCTGAATAGGGTTTCCTCGTTTGAGGAATAGGTTCGGGAGGTTGTTTGGACGGGACTGAGCTGACCTGGCTGATGACGCAGTGCTGCAAAGGGGTGCCTTTGTGTATTTTTGTCGCATGAGCGCTTGACACATCGGACGGGATATAACACATCGTCGTAGATTGGAAGGAGGGAGGTGTGCCACATACATTCAGCACATGGCTGTGATGCGATTTTGACCGTGACGCGGTTTGGCAGCCTGCAGTTCCGCCGCCATACTGGAATAAAACAAACCCCCCTTGACTCCTTGTTACAGCCTAGTTCTTCGTCTATGCGAAAAGCATCTGTCGCAAAAGTTCGCAAGGGTCTCCTCGGCTGATAAACTGCCTAGTAGTCGCCCCCCAGCAGCGGAGCAGGACGAGTGGATGACAACAGGGGCTGGGGCATCACGTCGCCTCCACTCTGAAAATTTTGGGATGCCCGTGTTTCGACAGGCGGAAGGCCCAACTCTCGCGTCGCGAGAACTACAACCGTCAATGGCCGTCGTCGTCAAATTCAGCAGACCAGGCCCATTCTCGGACGATGGTGGATGAGGTACTCCGAGCTGAGTCGGATGCCAACAGCCACTCGTTTCGTCGCGCGCGCCAGGTCGGATGCCTCGTCCCCTCCCCTACTCTCGTGCGCCAGTGATAGGTGCATGCGGCGGCTCGAGCCGCCCTTCTCCATTGCTTGCGACTCGTCTTCAGTCGCCCATCTCCGGAATGAGTCGAGAATTCCGGTTGCATTGCAAGCAACCCCCGCATGGTCTGTGTAGTGTAGCCGCCCGTCGGTCATCGCGCCTCCGCTGCCACCTTCGCCATTGGCGGAAGCTTCCCGGGCCCCTCCCCCCCCCCCCTCCGCCCCCCTCCTCCTTCCCCCACCGAATTTTCGCCGTTCCAAAATTTCAACATCTAGGTCGCTGGTCCTCATTCCCATTCTCCATTCCCACTCCGCAGATTTCTCCAACGCCGCTGCTCTCCACGGTACCGACTCTCTGCTTCCGAAGAAGAGTCCGCCTCGGCTCTCCAGCATCTCTTCTTCTGTCTCCTCACTGCCCGGTCGCTCCCCTCCGTCGCCATGGCTCGCGTCGTTCTCGTTGCGCTCCTGGCGTTGATTCTCTTCGCGCAGCTCGGATCCGCCCTCAAGCGACCCGGACGTGCGTCGGATACTACCCCTGGTCATCTGAAGGGCCTCTGCAAACCACTGGCATTTGTTGAATGCTTCCGCGCCGGAATTCCCTTTGCGGAATGATCCGTTTGCCTCCCTTATCATGATGAATCGCAAACTTTTTTTTTCAGTGTCAACAGCTTATGATGAATCTCCTTCTAATGACTGTGACTACTCGCATTGTTTTCTTTGTGGCGTCATGCAGGGCCCCGCTTCAAGAACATTCCTGGTGCTAAGAATATCGTCGTCCCAGCATCTTCACGCATGATCACACTCTACGACAATCTCGACTTTAACTACAACGTGAGTTGCGGCGTGCATTGCGGCGTGCATTGCGGCGTGCATTGCGGCGCGCATTTGCCACCGTGCATTCTGCAGCACAAGGTGCTGTGGTGTCGACTTGGCAAATCTGTAGTCGCTCGCGTGACCGTTTAACGCCTTCTCTCGCTCTCTCTCTCGCTCTCTCTCTCGCTCTCTCTCTCGCTCTCTCTCTCGCTCTCTCTCTCGCTCTCTCTCGCTCTCTCTCGCTCTCTCTCGCTCTCTCTCGCTCGCTCTCTCTCGCTCTCTCTCGCTCTCTCTCGCTCTCTCTCGCTCTCTCTCGCTCTCTCTCGCTCTCTCTCGCTCTCTCTCGCTCTCTCTCGCTCTCTCTCGCTCTCTCTCGCTCTCTCTCGCTCTCTCTCGCTCTCCTCCTCTCGCTCTCTCTCGCTCTCTCTCGCTCTCTCTCGCTCTCTCTCGCTCTCTCTCGCTCTCTCTCGCTCTCTCTCGCTCTCTCTCGCTCTCTCTCCTCTCTCGCTCTCTCTCGCTCTCTCTCGCTCTCTCTCGCTCTCTCTCGCTCTCTCTCGCTCTCTCTCGCTCTCTCTCGCTCTCTCTCGCTCTCTCTCGCTCTCTCTCGCTCTCTCTCGCTCTCTCTCGCTCTCTCTCGCTCTCTCTCGCTCTCTCTCGCTCTCTCTCGCTCTCTCTCGCTCTCTCTCGCTCTCTCTCGCTCTCCGCTCTCTCTCGCTCTCTCTCGCTCTCTCTCGCTCTCTCTCGCTCTCTCTCGCTCTCTCTCGCTCTCTCTCGCTCTCTCTCGCTCTCTCTCGCTCTCTCTCGCTCTCTCTCGCTCTCTCTCGCTCTCGCGCGCGCGCTCGCTCGTTTCGTTGCTGAGCATATCATGTCACTTAAGGATCTAACGAGCCGTTGTTGCGTTTTCGGGCCCGTGCAGGCTTCAGACTTCACCACTAGACGCGGCATGACGGGTCTCTGGTCAGATAGCGCTCTCACAAATAAGGTACTGTTACTGTTACTGCTAGAACCTTGAGTACAGAGCAGTTCCCTAGCGCACGCCGCGGCAACACACTTGAGCGGCACCCTCAATAAAAGATCCCCCGAATTTGTCAGAGCCTCTGAGATTTTCAGTCCGGGTACCAAATTTTGGGACGCGCCCCAATGTTTCTTTCCTCTGGGCAGGTCGGGCAGATCAACATCGTGGCAGAAAGCATGTTTGACTACAATGACGTCGTCATGTTCACCGCCAGTCTCAATTTCGGCATCGGATATGTCGCCGCCTCAGGTGGGCCTCTGGTTACCACCTTTCACGTTCCCACTCCTCTAGAAATATTCTGGCCATCGTCGCCCGTTACACTGCCGCCTATTTGTGTCCAGCCCTGGCCTTAATCCCGCTGGAGCATGGTCGTCCTTGCGGCCTTCCTCGCCTGACATCCCAAACTCCCTGCTGTTCCATTCACGCCCTTCCTGTTTATGTCGTCCTGCTCCTGTAGCTGCCGACAAGTGGACTGATAATTGGGTGGATCTCGCCGTAACGGGGGCGACGGGCAGCTTTACGAGGTTTAGGTCCGGCACGCTCCGCATCTACAAGCTAACCGGCAGCACCAACGTGCGGGACAGCAAAGGCCACTATCTCGAGCTCTCTTCGCTCGATTAAAAGAGCCTGGTTGCGCAGAGCACTGACGCCTCGCATCGTCTCACGCGTTTTGAAGACGTCTACTGGTGCGGGCTGGAGACCAGCATGTGGGTGGGATGGTTCGTGACTTGCGAATGTGAGCATTTGGTTTTGAGTGGGGTGCATCGAGCGGGTGAGAACAGTGCGTTGTCCTGGGTGTTGCTGTGTGGTGGGCTGTGGTTGAGGAGTAGTTGTCATCAGGGAAATAAAGATACGAGAACTTTGGATATGTGATTATACGGTCAAAAAGCAGATTAGAGCCACGTATATGTAGTGCTCTTGGGTGCTGCTCTTGGTAGTGCTCTTGGGTGCTGCTCTTGAGTGCTGCTCGTGTCACTGAACCGCAGAGCGTGATGGTTTTGAACGCATTAACGGCAGAACAAACAAATGGCAGTGGTATTGAAACAAGTCACTTCGCTTCATCTGCAGGCACCTAGATCAGAGACTTGACACCAGAATTGCTTTTGATGTACCACGCTAGACTCAAGCTCGCGGGTCTAAGAGGCAACGCATACGGAACAATCTGTTCCTTGTGCCCGCGCACCACCACAACCGCTGCATCTCCCCCACCCCCCTCCACCCCCCGTGGCTTCCCCATATAAGCACCGTTCATTAATAAATTCCCGTTAGAAATTATTCTAGATTTAGAGTCGCTCCATGTTGTTACTGTAGCTTGCAGGCCCACCCCGGGGAGGAAGACGTTGGACTGGGAGCGGATGAGTGTGAGGCCGTACCCTCTGCCCTTCCTCCACCCAGCTGCTGCTGTAACCACGGTTGTAGTCCCTGCTACAGCTCTTGCTACGGTTGTAGCAACCACTGCTGCTGTACCCACGATTGTATCACTTACTGCACCAGTAGACACTGCTCCGTAGTCACCTTCAGTATAGTCACTCTTTGTGTAACCATTGATTGTGTAACTGCTGTTAGCTGCTACACTTGCCCCTTCAACCCAGCCAGGAGCAAGGCCCCTTGTTAGAATGCAAGAATGATTTACTAGACTGTGAAACCTAGAACATATACATGTTGGGGTTGTACTCACTAGGAGCACACACCTAGGCTAGCCTAGAGCTTCTACATATTATAATTTTTAACACACGTAGTGTTTTTCAAAAATTGTGTATTGTGAAAGCGAAGCTGATTGTACTGAAGCGTTGGGCATCGTCGAAGCGCGCTACTCGCCCTTCTCCAACTACATATACGTGGGTTGGAGCTCATTTACCTCCACCCACGTCTCTCATTTTTCAAACGGCTCAGTCAACCTTCCCGCTCTAGCTTTTCTCCCGTTCAAGCTGGCTAAGACTAGAACTTTGCCTCGCGGCGAGTCTCCCTCGACTCTTCTCTCCGACATTTTTAAGTTTCACCGAGCCGTCATGGCTCCGACTACGAATAATCGCGGCGAGTCCAACGTCGTCACCGGCCACCCCAATTCCGAGTCTACTCGCCAAGCCCCGGAAATTGCGGGCGACCGGCGCAACAAGCGTCGGGCAGAAGAAGGGGCAACCGCCCCAACTGGGGTTGACGTTCTGCTGGGAGGGGGCGAGGTCAACAGTCAGCTTGCTGACGCGCCCCCGCCCCCTTCTGAGCCACACGCGCAAGTGGCTGGGCAGAGCCAGCCACTCGCGC